ATATATATATATATATATATTCCTAATACTTCAATCATCAAAACAAGTGAGCCACGGTTATCCAATGTGAGCATTACTGTTCCTCGCTAATTTTCATACAATGCCTGAAACAGAACTCGTTTAATAATAAATAAGTGGAATTATTGTTTGGATTTTAATTTATTGTCTTACCACCATGATTTTATACAATAAACTTGTGCATTTCTAATGCATAATTGTTCTTTGTTTCCAATTCTTCCAATTCTCTCCGTACGGAACATTGTTTTAGTTAGAATCATTTTACATACAACACTCACACATGTATTTTATTTAAAATTATAGATATTTATTTTTTACAGTTGAGATATATTTTGGCTTCTTAAATAAAAATATAATTAACTTTAATAAAAATAAAATAAAAAGAGAAAAGTGACAATAAAACATTCTGACATTTTAAATGTCATAACTCTTTATGAAATTATTTAAAAATCAATGTACAAGAAAGATTAATGGTATTCAAATAATTTCATAAAAAAGTTTGACATTTTAATTATTAAGATGTTTTAATTTTTTACAATTTCAAATATAAAATAGATAAAATTTAGTCATTTACAATAAAAGGATAAATAATCAAAATTTTGTTTAAATGTCATATGTAAATAAATTAGGACTCTATTTTGGTAAACTATTTTGATTAATATCTAGTTTCCTTGTTTTAGATTATCATTATCACGAAAATATATCTAAATTTACATAACGTATAAAAGGGGCCATATATTTATTTATATACAAGGAGTCACGCCGCTCCTTGCGCGGCCGAGTTATAATTTTATGAAATGTAAAATTTTGTTTTAGTTGTGTTTAAAGGTTTAAAAAACATTATTCCGGTTTGCAAAAGGTTGCATTTCAAAGCCTGAAACGAACTTACGTGGACCAATGAAAGGAGAAACGTTAGCTGGAGAGTGCAAAAGGCGAGTGCCCCTAGCACTCCTCTTTCAAAATTTAAATAATTAAAATTATTAGTTAAGAAATTAAAATTAAAATTATCAACGTATATAAATAAATATCTTAAACTCTAAACTTAATTAATTTATAGAACTATTTAATTTTATTTTAAATTATCTCATTAAATTTTTAAAAATCAAAACTAAAAACTAAAAACTCAAAATCACAACTATACTAAACATCAACTGAGTAAACAAAACACCCCTCCAGTTGTTCTTAAAATTAAGCAGCTAGCTAGTGTTATAAAAAAATAATAATAATAAGCAGCTAGCGTTGTGTTAATATTGCTAATGGAATTAGATTATTTTGTAACAAGTCAGTGTCTACGGTACAAATGGCTAAATTATGCAGTATTTTTAAGATCTCTTGTGGCCAGTTGGGAGAAATTATGACAAGCAATGGGGAGAGAACATTATTTTTGGGGATTAATACATTGCTGCATGCCTGCATGCATGCCAGTCCCTGCAACCATGGTTAAATACAGAGAAGAAACTGTATCTAATTTTCCCACAATGCCGATGCTGGTTGAAGAGAATCTGACATGGGAAAAGGCTGGATCGTGCCAAATTGGATGGATACAACAGAGTCCCCTGTTTGGATTGAACCAATGCCTGAAGAATGGTATTCAACTTCGTAGAATAAAGAATAATGCATGAGCGTAAACAACCTGTCTATTATGAATGACTTGGAAATAAAGAACAATTATGCATTAGAATATAGAAATGCTCAAAGCTTATTATATAAAATCAAAGTAATAAGACAGAATAATAGACTATATTAAATTTCAAACAATAATTACAGTCGTTTATTATCATACCAGTTTTGTTCCAGGCATGTGGTATAAAAACTAGCGAGGCACAGTAATGCTCATGTCGGATAAACATGGCTCACTTGTTCTGATGATTGGAGCATTAGGAATGTTGTACACAGGAGTGGGCATCTCACTGGGAAGATTGGGTAGCGCCGCTTCAAAATTAAGCACCTGCATTGCTTGCTTGATTGACGGTCTCATATTACGAATAGGATGTGCACACCACAAGCCAATACTCAACAAACATTCCATCTCTCTCATATCAAAATCTGCAGAGAGTTTCTTGTCAACTACATCAAGAAGCCTTTGGTTCCCATAAGCCTGCCACACCCAAGCCACCAATGAGGCCTGATCCTCATCATATCTAGGCTCTATTGATCTTCTTCCACATGCAATTTCAAGTGCCACAACTCCAAAGCTATAGATATCTGATTCCCTGCTTGCCTTGCCTGTTCTGTGACACTCAGGAGCCAAGTAGTCCATAGTTCCAGCCAATAAAGTCGTTAGTGATCCTTTTTCATGATCAGCTAACCTAGCTAGCCCAAAATCACCAAGTTTAGTATTAAAATCAGAATCTAACATAATATTGTTTGTTTTAATATCCCTATGTAGCACACAAAAATCTCCTAATTCGTGTAAATACAACAATGCTGATGCCAAGCCTTGTGCAATTTTGAATCTAAGATTCCATGGCAATAGGCTTCTTCCTTTGAAGAGATGGGAATCCAAGCTGCCATTAGGCATGAACTCGTACACTAGTAATAGTTCCTTTTCGTGGCACCAACCTATAAGCTTAACTAAATTCCTGTGCCTCAATCGGCTTATAATCTTAACTTCTGATATATACTCCTTAATCCCTTGTTTAGATCTCCTTGAAATCCTCTTAACGGCAACATCTGTATTTGAATCCCTCAAAAAACCTTTATAAACGGATCCAAATCCTCCCTCACCTAGCTTCTCTTCTTCAGCAAAGTTCTTTGTTGCCTTGGACAATTCAATATAGGTGAACTCCCTAGGTCCCATGCC